CAGAGGCGAACACTGAGGGTTTCTGTTCTCAGGAGGCCCGTGGGTGATGAGAACACGGCAGGTGAGCAGAGAGCGAAGGTAGCGCGGCGGGGCTGGGCTGCTGGGCGGAGATGCAGACACTCACGGCCCCAGCCCCAGAGCTGGGAAACCCATCCCCTTACCTTTGTGTGCGAGGCAGCATCGAGGCCAGGCCTTGAAAGCTGAGCAAGGTTTCACAGGCAAGGGTGAGAGGAAGACCCTCCAAACAGGGTTGAGCTCAGAGGCCCAGCAGTGAGGTCGTATAAGGGGCACTGACCACCCTGACTTGCAGATCGTGGAGCCCTGGTCCTGGGGCCTCCTTCCTGCAGTCACGTGTGTGCTCCTGTCGTCTGCGGGAGTGCTGCTCTGTCGCTTGCTCTGAGTGTCGCCGTCCGACATCTCTCTTCAACGTGGTTCAGAACTGCACTGTTCAGGGTGGGCATTTTTCCAAGCTTAAGCTGCAGGGAGGAGACAGGGTTCCCCAGGAGACAGGTCACTCACAGCCTGGGGAACGCAAGACTGCTTGATCCCAGCACGCCTTCTGTTTTCGCTCATGGTGACTTTGTTTCGCTGGGTTGAGAACTAGAGAAATTCAGTGGTCTTTATCCCATCTGGAGAGACAGCCATCTTTGTGACAGTAGGATGGGAGAATCAGCACGGATGAGTGCTCCTACCTAGAGTTTCAGCATCTGCTAAGCCTTCCCTGAGCACTGGCTAGGCCCTGAGGACCCACAGATGAGCCTGACCAGTCCTCTCTCTCTGGGTTTGGAGGACAGGTGTGGTTGCAGAACCCAGGTTGTAGTCCATGCTGGAGAGGTTCCCAGAAGCAGCAGAACTCCTTGGGACCTGGAGGGATGAGCTAGACCATGTGGGAGGAGGGGTCCAGGCAGAGGGAAGGAGCCACTCCGTCTGGGTTTAGGCAGGTAGCACTAAGAAGTGCTGAGCCGTTGGAAGGAATAGAGGCCAGTGCGTGGAGAAGCCTGGAACACATCTGGAGAAACATTTGCTTTTCATGCTTGTGAATTTTGCCAGTTCCTACAGTGACGCATTGTCACCGGGTTTATCTTCTTTCTGAACGTGCAGGCAGCTTCTATCCCAGATTACCGGGGCCCTAATGGAGTGTGGACTCTGCTTCAGAAAGGGAGAAGTGTTAGGTAAGCAGCCCCCAGCAGGTTTGCCGTCCAGTCGAGCGGAGGCGGCATGGGCCTGACCTCGCAGCTCCCCACACCTGTGCTTTCCTTCGCCCGGCAGTGCTGCCGACTTGAGTGAGGCTGAGCCGACCCTCACCCACATGAGTATCGCCCGCTTACACGAGCAAAAGCTGGTAAGAACCTGGTGTGGCTGGTGGTCCGCTTGCTGGGTCCCTAGCGCAGAACCTGGACGGCCAGCTTTGTGCCCAAGTGGCAACTGTATTGTGCCTCTGTCAGCCGCTGGACCTGGGGGATGAGTGCCCACCGAGTGACTCCCGGCTTGAGTCGTGGATAGGGTCTGCCTCAGGCCCAGAGCTGCTGGGGGTTCTTTCCACGCTGCGTTTCCCCACAGACCTCAGAAGCCACCTAGATAAAGGGGAAGCTTGTGGGAAACCTCTGAAGACACCCCGCCCCCCGCTGGGCACGTTCAGCCACGTGGGCAGGGGTCTCTCCTCCTGGTCCTTCAGTGACTCGAAACAACGAGACAAGAGAGCGTCAGTCGGGCCCTTCCCAGCTGAGAGGGGAAACCTGCGCTCTCAGCTTGCCAAGAGCTTCCGGGCCTTTGAGGGCAGCCGGGGGCCCTTCCCCCCGAGGGCCCTCCAGGTCGTGCTGGGACCGACCTGCCCCCCTGGTTTTGCCTCCGAGGCTTCATGTGGGGTTGGAGTTGCCCCCAGTTTGGGGGCTCGGGGCAGGGTTAAGGATGGTGTCGCTGATGAACACAGCCCCTCCCACGGCCCCCCTGCTGACTCACGCTGGCCTCCCCTCCAGGTGCAGCACGTGGTGTCTCAGAACTGTGACGGGCTCCACCTGCGGAGTGGGCTGCCCCGCACGGCCATCTCGGAGCTCCACGGGAACATGTACATCGAAGTGAGCGGTCCCGCCGGGGTCCGGGGGCCTGCGCGGGCCGGCGGCTCCTGCTCATGGTGGCCTCTCCTCCTCAGGTGTGCACAGCCTGTACCCCCAACAGAGAGTACGTGAGAGTGTTCGATGTGACCGAGCGTACCGCCCTGCACCGGCACCAGACGGGCCGGGCATGCCACAAGTGCGGGGCCCAGCTCCGGGACACCATCGTGCACTTCGGGGAGAGGGGGACCCTGGGGCAGCCTCTGAACTGGGAGGCAGCCACTCAGGCAGCCAGCAAAGCAGATACAATTCTATGTTTAGGCTCCAGCTTAAAGGTACGTGAACAGCACCGTGGTTGGGGCGGGGGGGGGGGGCGGGGAGCCTGCTGGCACCTTGCCAGTTGGCCGTTCGACCCTGGTGTCCTAGAGCTTCGTTCCCTATTGTGCGTGTGGTCTTTCTGTCGGTCTGTCCATTCCTGCAGGTCTTGAAGAAGTATCCTCGTCTCTGGTGCATGACCAAGCCCCCCAGCCGGCGGCCCAAGCTCTACATCGTGAACTTGCAGGTGAGCCGCGCACGGAGAGGCCCCTCCTAAGACCTGGACCTTAGGAGAGGAGAACCAGAGAGTTCTTGGGTGTTCGTGTCCCGAACTCATGGGCCAGAGAGGTCTGGCTGAGAAAGGGCCATCGGGAGGCAGTGGGGTATCCTCACGTACCTTCCCCTGTCCCCAGTGGACCCCAAAGGATGACTGGGCTGCCCTGAAGCTTCACGGAAAGTGTGATGACGTCATGCAGCTCCTCATGGATGAGTTGGGCCTGGAGATCCCCCCCTATAGCAGGTGAGGGGGGCACGGGCGCATCCCCCCCTTTCCTGCCCCTGTGTGGATGGGCTGTGTCTGTCTGTTCTTGTGAACTGAGCACAGGGAATGCTCTGAGTTACACATGGTGTCTGAGGTGTGACTGCAGCCTGGCGGCCTCTGCGGGGAGCGGCTGAAGCATCAGCGGAGCGTGACTCCCTGCGGGGAGAGGGAATGTGCCAGCGCGCGCTGGAGGGCCCCTCTGCCGCAGACAGCCTGGACGGGAAGGTGCCTTGAAGGGACGTGGTCTCGGCGACTCCAGTCAGACAGAGTCTTGGTGCACTCGGTTTGGGGAGCTGGCGTACTGTGGGGAAGCTTAAACTGTACCTTAATACAGAGTTTGTGATAATTTAGACGTGGTGTATGTATTGAGTAAAAAGTTTACACTTTCTTTCTCTGTGAATTTTCAGGGTCTTATAGGGGAAATCAATAACTTCTTTTAATCAAAGGGTTCAAGAATTAAGGATCCCTTCACCTTCTGGGCCTGGCAATTCTTGTATGTTATGTTTGTGGTGTTCTGTAATGTGGGCCTATTGTGTACTGTACTCTTTTTTTTTTTACATTAACTTAGCTCATTTTCTTTATCAGTGCTTATCTGTATCTTAAGTTTATAATATGTGGTTCTACATCTCAGTCAGACACATGATCTCTCCATGGTGTAGTCCATAGGCCACACCTCCCTAGTCAGCTGGCCTTTTCCCCCCACATCCTGCAGTCTGGGAAGAGGGAGAGGGTCTGGTCCACCCACCCCGGCCATACGAGTGAAAAGTGGGACCCAGAGCTGCTAGTGATTCATCCCTTTTGGGGCTGCTCCTGCCTCACCCCAGTGTGCTCAGCCTGCTGGGTCGCCGGCAAGGACACTGAGTTCCGCAGAGGCTGAGCTAGTGTGATTGCTGACCTCTGAGTTACTGGGGAGCTTACGCCGTTCTGTAGCTCCACAATAGTGGAGCTGCCTCCAAGCAAAGCCTGGCCGCAGTTAGGACGGGAAGGGAAGCAGGGCGACCTCCTCAGTCAGCTTTCCCGCCCTGGGGCAGGTTGTGACTGAGGCTCCCAGGCTCCCCTGACCTAGCTTTCCCTTTTCGGTAGGTGGCAGGACCCCATCTTCTCCCTGGCGACTCCCCTGCGTGCGGGTGAGGAAGGTAGCCACACTCGGAAGTCGCTGTGCAGAAGCCGAGAGGAGCCTCCGCCTGGAGACCGGGGTGCACCGCTCAGCTCAGCCCCGATCCTAGGCGGCTGGTTTGGCAGGGGCTGCACTAAACGCACAAAAAGGAAGAAAGTGACGTAACCCGGTGCTGGACAAGAACAAATGGCACTTTGCAGATGTCAGAACTCGTATTCAGGAGCGAGGCCGGGACTGTCCCCCGGGTCCCTCGCGCCGCCTCCCTTGCACTGTTGCGGCCGCCTCGGGTGTGGGCCGTCAGAGGACCCTCGCCGTCTGGCCGCGTCCTAGAGAGGGGGCGGCCACGCCTCTCTGCGGGATCGGAACTCGGGTTGTTTCACAGCCGGCCGGTCAGGAGGAAGCACGCGACTGCCTTACCTCGTGCACCCGGCTCGTCTCAGGGGCCTCAACCCTATTTCTACTGCTTCTTACTAAAACGTGGTAACTTTATAGCAACCTTTTTCTGAACGGGGTTTGCGGCAGAGGGCTGGTTCTGAGCCTGGGCTCGGCGCGCCTTTTTATTGTTATTAAACATCTCTGCACTGTCGCCCGCGTGTCCTCGAATGGCTGCCGGGTGGGCGCGGGAGCGGGTGCACAGCTTAGGTTCCCGGGGGCGGGGCGGGGCAGGCGGGGCGGGCTGGGCTGGGGGAGGCGGGGAGAGTGGGTGGAGCCCCACGTGGCCCTGCCCCGCCCCCTCGGCTAGGTGCGTGCGCGCTATTGGCCCCGCGCGCCGGGGGGGGCGGGGTCTCCGGGGCACCCGGTAGGCCGCCGGGCGGGGGCGGGCCTCGGCTACGGCGGTTCACGCCATTGGCGGCGCACGCGGGGCGGGGATCCAGGGGCGGGGATCCAGGGGCGGGGCGGGGCTCGCCATTGGCCGCGCGCGGCGGGTGAGGTCCGCGTGACGGCGCGTGCGCCCGGCAGGGCGGGGCGTGCTCCGGGCGGGAGGGCGGCGGCCGCTGGGAGTCGCGGAGCGGGTCAGGCCTTGCCGCCGCTGCGGGGCCATGATCCGGAACGGGCATGGCGCGGCGGGCGGTGCAGAGCCGCCGGGTCCGGAGGGCAAGCGCGCCGTGCGAGTGTGGTGCGACGGCTGGTGAGCGCGGCGGTGGCGGCGGCGGGCGGGCCGGGGGCGGGGACAGCCGGGCCCGGGGCCGCGGGGGCCGCTGCGCCGCCGCCCGGAGACACGTCCGCGGGCCGGCCTGCGCCCGGGGCCCGGGGGACGA